GATTTCCTCGATGTATAAAACAATTACAGGTGTTCCGCAAAATGAATGGCTTGGCTGAGGAAATTCAAAAATCTCAACCGCCTGTTGACTCGTGGAGAAAGTTCATATATTGCAGTTCACTCACTGGTTCAGTTCTAGGGATAGTTGACCATATGCAACCTCAAGGTATGAATACTCCCATTATTTTTCCTCAGCTTATCTATTGATAAAAATTAGGCTAATATTCATGTCATTTTGCGTTCTTTCTCGGTCTTCGCAAATGTTGCGGTGGTATCGTTTGCCTGTGAAAGGAAATAGTTATTAACTGGTTCCCCTTAACATAGTTTTGAATGTGGGGAATTCGTGTTCTAAGACATGCTTAATACATCCTTTGCTAAGCAGATTTTGAAAAAGTTGTCAGCCCTGCCTCTGTGGCGCACTTTTCGCAGTACAAACTAACAAGATTATTAGTTGAGCATCTGAAAAAGCTCAACTTCCAAATTCGTGAAGCAGACAACTTGGAAGGCCTGGATTGTGAAGCTCCCAGGGCAGGAGAAATACTGATGGGGCACGAATGCATCTCCATCGATACTACTTCTAACCGATGTGTAACTGCAACTGTCTCTTATACTGAGGGAGGAAAGTGTAAGGAGAGAAAATTCCGGTGCAGTACTCTTGTCGGTGCAGATGGGGCTGGAAGTAGTGTGAGAAGGCTTTTAGGAATTAGTTTGAGAGGTGAAAAGGATTTACAAAAGCTTGTCAGTGTTCATTTTCTTAGCAAAGACCTTGGGCAACATCTCCTCAGGGAGAGGCCTGGTATGTTATACTTTATCTTCAATACTGAAGCTATTGGAGTTCTTGTTGCTCATGATCTGGAGCAAGGAGAATTTGTTTTGCAGGTATACATTGCAATTTCATGCAAAATGTCTAGTTGATCATTTCGCCTGCTTCAGATCCCCACTGGATAACACCCGAGTTTGCTTATCATGTTGTAGATGCCATTCTATCCGCCTCAGCAAAATGTACGGGATTTTGAGCCGAAGGTACTGTTATATTTTTGAGCTGGATATTTGTTACATACTCCATTTATTAAATTCTGGTTTAGTGCGTTTTCAAAGTATGTGCCCTCAGTTAGGTTGACTGATAAGATATCCTCTCGGGTGCTCTCTGTGCAATATAGATGCTTGTTCCATGCGGCATTAAGTTACGATACGTCGATAGGATTATAATTCCTTGTTGATGGAAACAATATGTTTTTTGAAGGATTCAACCTGTTGTAGATATGTGAGAAGATAATTTTCAAGTTGGTTGGCCGAGCACTTGTGGACATAGATGTAATTGAAGTAAAACCATGGGTGATGCATGCTGAAGTTGCAGAGAAGTTTCTTTCCTGCGACAATCGAGTCATAATTGCTGGTGATGCAGCTCATCGATTTCCTCCAGCTGGTGGTTTTGGTGAGTGGCATCCTTTAATCAGTTGACTACTTAGTTACGATTCTTCAGGTTTAAATCCTGCATCTTTCCTCAATCGTTTCTATGCTAATCACACTTCTATTAACCAAATTTAGTTTATTTGGGGGAATCCACTTTGATCTTGTGCCCATGCCTTTTGTAATTCAATTCTAGTTGGATGGAACATTACTTTTGACTCAAGAAATTTTTAGTCACTGCTCCTAAGCTATAGCAACTGAAGCTTTCTTTCTAGCTTTTTTTTTTTTTTTTGGTAACCCAGGGAACCCCCGCACGGCCGACAGCCGGGAGGTAAACCCTGGGGGCGACACGTGCTAGCCACCACACACGTGCACCGGTTAAGTCACCCTGCGGCGCTCGGGATTTGAACACCCAACTTTTTGCGAGAGGAAGAGTGCCCTTTCCAGCAGTGCCACCCAGGCGGGTGGTGCTTTCTTTCTAGCTTTAGCTGCTGATAGAAGTCAAAATCTTTTGTATTTTGACATTGCACTGGATCATTTGTCAAAGATTGGAAATATATAATGCTGTCTTCTTTTTCCATTTTAGGTGGCCCCTAAAGACTGCCACTTTTCTAGTGTTTCCAAGAATCCTTGCACCCTAAATATGAAAAAATGGCCGAAATATATCAACGAAATCATTACCTGCAGAGAAAAGAGAAGTACCTAAAGAGTTACACAAGAACTTTGATAATTCTCACGCTTTTTTTATCCTTAAGAAATGCTCAATAAGAATGGGCCCAAGCATGTGGTTGGCCAGTCGATGGCATGATCAATAGCTTAGGAGCAGGAAAGTTCGACTTGTCAAAGTCTGTTAGAGGAAGACTGCTAGATTAGTAAAATTTCCATGAAATTATTGCAGGTATGAACACTGGAATCCAGGATGCACACAATCTTGCTTGGAAATTGGCTTCTGTCTTGGAGGGTATTTCACCATCTTCATTTCTTCATACCTATGAAGCAGAACGTAGGCCGGTACTTCTATTTGATTCTTCCTTGTAAGTGGTGGAAGTTTTATTCTGTGAATCGGATGGATCCTTGACCTTGGGATAATTGATCAGATTGCCATCTTTAATACTACATTGAGTGTTCAAAACTTCAAAGCAGCCATGGCAGTTCCAGCTGCTCTAGGTCTTGATCCTGCTGTCGCAAACTCAGGTATTTTGATGCTTGCTTTCATTCTCTGCGAAAGACTCTTTTCTTTTGTCATAATTAGTTAGTTTACTTATCAATCTTTATTGAAGTCCTCACAAGCATTGCTGCAGTTGCCTATTGTTAATTTATGCCTAACTCTTCATTCCTTTCTATGCTCTGTCTTACAGTACATCGAGTTGTCAGTGACGGTTTTGGTTCCATTCTACCGTCTGAAGTTCAGAAGGCAATTTTGGATGGAGCTTTTAGCTTCGGCCGTGCACAGCTTTCAACATTTTTTCTTAACGAAAACAACCCCCTGGGATCATCAAGACTGGCAAAACTGAAATGTATATTTGACGAGGGGAAAAGCCTCCAACTGCAGTTTCCTGCTGAGGATCTTGGCTTCAGGTATCACTCATATTCAGATAAAAGTTAAAAGAAGAAGATTCTGATGTGGAAACTTCATATTCTGACCTTTCATTCTGCTAATATGACAAATAATCGAGGAATCTTTGTGATTGACCAATAAAAGTGTTGTTTATTGTGAAAAATTGCATGTTGATGTTTTCCGCTTGCTCGGCGACTTGTCAATTGGGTAATGTTAGTTGTTCTGTCATGAATTTCTGATCATTTGTCATCCATCTTGATTAACTTTGAGCCTGGTTAGGAAATATTCATGTATATTCGTCCTGCGTTCTCTTAGGAATTAGAGATTGATCTTAACTATTCATTAATTTCCTGACTTACAATTCATTTGACTTTTGAGAATCCACCAGTCTATTTTGGGAAGCTTCTGTTACATGTTGTTGCGAGCATGAACGTGACAATCAACCATTATATTTCAGGTACCTTGATGGTGCACTTATTCCTGATGTTAATAGTACCTCGATTCCACTTCCGGTGCCTACTGGCCGTCGTAGGGACTATATACCATCTGCAGATCCAGGATCAAGGCTTCCCCACATGAATGTGAGGGTATGCTCAGATTCTGGCAATGAGGTATATCTAGTTATCAGTTCCTGACATGCTCATTTGATACGCCATATACTTAACTTGAGTGTGCCTTCATAAATGTCTTCTAGGAAAAAATGTCAACTCTTGACCTCGTACGTGGAGATAAGATCGAGTTCCTCCTCCTCATTGCCCCGATGGAAGATTCCTACGATCTTGCTCGTGCTGCTTTCAAGGTGGCTGAAGAATTTAGAGTATCCGCTAGAGTCTGTGTAGTGTGGCCTGTTGAAGCTGGTAATGCGCTTGGAGAAGGTAGCAAGGTTGTATTGGCACCTTGGGAAAATTACTTGGATGTTCAGGAAGTTAAGAATCCATCGATTTCTTCTTCTTCCTCCTGGTGGGAGTTGTGCCGGATGACCGACAGGGGGGCGATCCTGGTCAGGCCTGATGAGCATATCGCCTGGCGTGTGAAATCTGAAATCGTAGGAGATCCCATGTCGGAGATGCGAAAGGCTTTTTCTGCAGCGCTGGGTGTGAAGTTGAGGGCGGTCTAGAAAAACTTTTCCTATCTTCATGGATGTTGTTATTAGTTCAGAAGTAGCAAGAGAATAATCTCGTATATTGGCATTTTCTATCGATTAGGCTTTGGAGAACAACGATTAGTATTTTGTGTGCATTAAATTGCCTGCTCCACAGTCAATAATTTGTAGGTGCGTAAAACGGACTGCTCGAACCGGGCGGTTCCCGGACCGGACCAAACCAGCTGGTTCCCGGGAGTGTCGGAACTGCAAACCGAACCGACCGGACCGGATCGACTACATATTCTTTTTTTTTTTTAATAAATAGCTAATGTGCCGTTAGGGGAAAGCCGTTCCACTCATCATTATCATAGAAATATGGAGCTTTTTGGAAAGTTGTATACGAAGAATCAATTTTTTATATTTTTTGGTCAACGAAGAAGCAATTAGGCCAAAAGTCGTCTGATTCACTCATCATTTTCATAGAAAGGGACTTGATAGTTTTCCTCGGTCAAGTGAATGCCATGTTCTATAGTTTTCACTTAATGGCACAAATTGAACTTGATATACTTCTATGCAATTGATTTGGAGGAGCTCTCTCTTCATTAAGTAGTGGAAAAAAAAAAGTGACTAGTTTCATTGGATTTGAGTCCGCAGTTCCCAATTTTGGGAACCGGTCCTTCCGGTCCGGTGGTCCTACTGGACCGGGACCGATCACCCCTGTTAATTTGGGTGTTGACACTAAGTACTCTGATGCTCTCGGATGAATGATACATGACGGACATACCAGAGGGAAGAACCCAATGTTTAATATGTATCATCCAACAATTCATGTTGGTGTCTGTAGATTAAATCACGTCCTCATTTTCTTTCCCTGCGACCTAAATTGAATCGCCCGCTCTCTTGTTTTTTGCGATCTGCAACCCCATGATTGGTTGCGATGGACAGACAATTCGACACCATATCAGACGTAACTTGTATTGAATCTTTCATTTTGTACTATTTTTACAGTGTCCAGTTCATCAGGAACAAATGCTGAATTAAGGCATTAAGAAACGCATGTATGAGAAAGGAGGGAATGTGCTTGGACATCCTTTCATCCGTGACCTCGGCTTGAGTCGTGGTCGAAGATGTAGAAGCGCGATGCTTCGGATTTCTGCACAATCACCTGATGGATAACATCAACTGCATACCAGGAAGATCATATGCCCTAGAGATGCAGTAATAATTCCGAGAAACCCGCCGGCGACGACCTGTGATTAGCAAGGAGAACACACAAAAAAGAAGCAAAAACAAGAGCATCGACATCAGAAGTTTCTGAGAATACATAAGCAGAGGATGGTAGAGATGTCATTTAGTTTCCCCTGTAATTACTATGTGAAAATTCATCGCATCTTATTAACAATGTGAACCGCTTACCAATATCCATTCAAGTTGCCTAAACGTTAAGGCGTTTTAAAAGGAGAAAGTTTAAAAGAAGTGCCAACTACTCTAAATCCTCTCCTTAGGACAGATAATGAATGTGAATAATTCTATGACCCTGCAACATCGTAAAGCTGCAAATTTGACATTTTCTCTTTGCCCGAGACAATCTTGACGATAATGTAACAGGTCATCTATCAGGCAACTAGAGCATCCCAAAAAGAGTCACCCCCTAAAGATCGAATCAGAGAATTTGACGTAAGCTACTGTATGCTAACAGATGAGCAAAAGCAAAGAGTGAGCCTCACAATCATCATTTGCAGCATTTCCCATAATCAATCCAGCAGATAAGGGATGGTAAATTAGCATGTGTTTACAGTAGTTTTTCACCTAGTGTATCCTTCACGTGTTTAATCCCTAACCATACTCTGAGGACTCCCAGTGATTAATAAATGTATACAAATACAAGTTGAACCAGGACAGTCGAGCATATAGCAGACCTGAGGAGGAGTATGGCCTAGAAGTTCGCGCAGTGGCCTGCTCTCGGCAAGGGGATGCTCAGCAGGAAGTTCATACACAATTTGATTTAACACCTGGAAAATTAAAATGCAGAAAAGATGTGTCCTAAAGAAATTAAATAGTCTAATTTAATCTAAGCACTCTAATTTAAGGATCATTTTTGTAAAATAGATCGTAAAAGATAACCAAGTGCAGAAGAATAGTAAAAATGGCAAAAACACCCAACCTCTGCCTGACGTCCAGCCTGTAACCGAACACCAGTTGCATCATACATCACCTGCACAGTTTTTTTCCATATTAACATTCTCTAGGAACAGACAGCACACTAAATGGCATCCTTTGAACAGGTAATCAACACAATCTGTTGGTTTGCATTACTATACTATCTCCCGGGCATTGCAGTAACTAGGTAACTGCAGAAGCAAAGACAATGCCAAACTACTCCATTTTCCCCCAGGGATTCTTTGAGATGCAACGAGCATAGGATGAAGGTTAGGATTTCAAATCAGATTTTCCATGGTTTTCTTAGAAGATGGGACAAAATTGAAATAAGGGCATACCACCAATGCTAAGATCAATGCGGTGGCAAATGTTGTTCCTCCAAAGCCATCTTGAAACCCAATCGCCGCCGCAAGAGCGGTTACGGTCGCAGAATGAGAAGACGGCATCCCTCCAGATCCAACGAGCCGTTTGAGATCCCATCTCCTTTCCTTATACCTGCAAATCTAAGAAAAGATTAAGACTCTTAGGACATATTACCATGTAAACCAAATTAAAATGGAGAACTATATACATGGAAAGTAGGAAACAAATAAACCCTCTCAATTCCACTGCACCGCCATCTGGTCGTAGCGAATTCATTACGACATCCATGGTCTCAAACAATCAAATCGAGGCAATTTGTAGAAAAAGCGAACCGCATATAAGCATCAGATTGGGGGGAGATCAAATTTAAACGACAAATGCATCAATTCTGGCGAATATCTACAGCCTGGGACACACACCTAGGTCGCCTTACCAGACGTGACCTAAAGATCAACGAGCTAGATCAATCAGCTCAGAGTTTGTTTCTTGGTGCGTTCTTTAGCTTCGGAGAAACAATAAGCAATAGGTTTGATTTGGAAGCCAAAGAATTACGCAAAAAAATGGAGTTCATCACGGATCGACTCGCCATCGTTTGCGCAAAGCTCAATTTGCTTCCCGAAATAGAAATCGAGCGCGGACATTCGATTCGATCGTCGCGCGAAACATGAACAGTCATCATTGCAACGCGCCACGAGATCAAAAGCGCGCACAAACAAAAACAACACGCGGAAGTCAAAAGCTACGTTACCGGGGGAGGAGAAATGGAAGGAAGGAGTACCAGGAGGTGAAGAACTTGATGGACTGAGCGATGGTGAAGGCGGCGAGGGCGGAGATGAGGGCGTAGTTGGTGAAGAACGACGGCGACGACGAGGACGCGGCCGACGACGACGTCGACGAAGAAGAAACCGAGCCTTGGATCGACGATCCAGACGCCGCCACCTCATCCAGCATCCCTCTCATCGCCGTCCGACGTTGGCTCGACAGGCCGCTTCCTCTTCTTCTTCTTCTTCTTCGAGTCCGATCTTCAAATGCGCACAGAGAGAGAGAGGATATCGGTCGTCGTCGTCGTCGCCGTCGTCGTCGCCGGCCCCTTCGTCGTTCTTTTATACGAGTTCTGGATTGGACATGAAGAGAGCAACTAACGGTCTTTTCAAGAGAGAGAGAAGAGTCTGAAGATGCGTCCTTCCCTCTCATATTCCAACCAGAATATGCCATTTTTCACCGCCACCATTTATTTTATTTTATTTATTATATTTTTTATTTTCGGATCCGTCGTCGTTTTCGACCTCACGTCTCTAGATTCTTTGGCGTGACTTGGTCATCCTAAACTCTAATTTGCAAATCCGGATTTAACAAGAAAGTCCATCTTTATTAAATACGCAAACTCGGGTAAGGCTCGGGGGCAATAAATCATACGGGGCACGAAACATATGTTTTCCCGGATCCTTATTTGAACCAATTCGACGAGTCAAAGTTATGATATGGATAAGATAACAAGAAGGAGAACGTGCGCTCTTACATCCCTAAAGGTTCAATTATTTTGTGTAAGTCATATTCAAATCACGTGGATACCGATAAGATGCGAGAACAGTCGATGGACATGCTTCATGCCATATAGAGCAATTTTAACTCTTTTTGCTTGTTTGGCTCTATTCATTCATATCATATTCTTGGAATTGCTCTCTCTAATTCTAAGCTCTTAATTGGGTCCGTTATTATCTGTGGGAGGTGGAAAATAAGAATTCGCATTCACGGCACGTGTTAAAGTATCCCGTGTAGCCCGTATGTGGCCTTCCTCTATCTAGAGTCAAGTTCTGCCCCAATTTATTTTGCGTGTGTCCAACTTTAATTAGGCCGACACATGAGATGGGGAGTTAAAGCATCTCAGATTTGCTTGTTTATTGGAATTACATGATCTTTATATACGTGTAGTCCCCCTCCATTTATTAGCTTAAGATTAGGCTTTCTATCTTGCCCATCAAGTCTTTTATGCGATGGTCGTATCAACGTTACATCGGCCACACTGATATCCTGTTTTCCACTATGCGGAAGAACGAAGTTGCATGTGTAAATACACATAGGTATAATGGACAAGCACATAAGTTTACTCTCGCATGGTGGGCAGATGAGAAAAGACGGGGCGTGTGCGGACGACATGTCTATGTTTGTCACGGCATGTTTGATATCATTCACTTTAATAATCGATGTGAATTTAACCTCATGGACCCGAGCGGAAAAGGAAAATTCCCTAACTATTTGCGAAGAATTGTCAAATTTTAGCTATAAAAATCTTGACCTTGTCGGGCTCAATCGGTTGAGAATTTGGGAGCTGGTGAACCGGTCGTCGTTCAATCACAGGTCTTATTCCACAGCATGGTTGAGACCAAATACCCATTACAATCCCCGAACAAATCGGGAGAGAGAGTTGAGATATCTCCATTATGCTTTTCAACTTTTTTCCCAACCTTTTTACTTTTTCCTTGTCTTTGACCTTCTGTTTAGACGCGAGGAGTAGGAGGTACACCATGTTATTGCGTGTAGAGTTTGATTGGTTTGTGGCTCTTTCTTCTCTTTGACTCTTCTCATTTGGTTTTACTTGTTCCACGGTCCAAACCCACTTTTGTTTTCGGAAAAATAACATCAAACATCCTTCAATTTTAATTCAATGTATAATATCTTCTCTAAATTTTTAATTTATTCAATATCAGGCATGAGCTTTTGCTTAATATTCAATGTGGCCCCTAAACTTTTAAATATTTTTATACAGTCTAGAAACTACATTGAATATTTACCAATAGCTTAGGGATCACATTGAACAAATTAAAAGTTTAGAAACGACATTGCACATTGAGCTAAAATTCAAGGACCAAATTGCTCAAATTAAAAATCGAGACCAGAATTCAAAGATCATTTATGCTACTGCCCCTTTGTTTTTCCAAGCTAAATCATGTGTTAAAATCGTAATAACAAGAGCAGTAGCATGTCGTGAGGTGAAGCTCGGCATCGCGAGTCGAATGAGACACAACCGTGGCTCTTTTAAGCTGTTAGGTCATCCGAGGACCTCGAGAGTTGTTGGCGCCCATGTAATTGAATGAATATTGGTTTTGCTTTGAATTCATAAATCACACTGCTCTCGAATTGAGGATTTTAAGACAGATTGACCAAATACAAGAATGTGGGGTTGCACTCAAACAGACATGCCCCTCACTACACTACCATCAGCCTAACCATACTAAACAAAAATTTACAAATCTGGGAACCCAGCACAAATACAGTGGTCGCTACCAATAAATTGGAATAAACAGGAGCTAAACGTGTACTAACTTAAAGAGCCAATGCTTTTCGAATTACAAGACCCTCAAGACAGGTCGCAACCCGGCTTCAAGGGAGCACTCGGTATGTGTACCTTCTTCACATTATTGTGCAATTGCACTTGGATTCGAGCTTTGGTGGCTTTACACTGTCCAACTTGTTCGGGATCCCGACATTACGCATCAAAGACTCGTCAATGTTCTCATCGTTCTCAGTCTTGCCGGACAGGAGGTTCTTCTCGGTTTCTACCTGCCTCTGCCTCGCCTTCTGGGATTTCAAACTGCGTTTACTTACAATCCTACCTCTGCGTGGATCCCTCGTTTCCATGGTGGACTTCCCCAATATCGTTACAGTAGGATGCGAGCCTTCCAGAGGAACAGCAGGTTCTTTCTCCATCGCAATAGTTGCAGCTTTATATGCCAAATCATGAACGATGGAGCTGCAGAAAAGAATTGTATCCGTTGCTTCATCGAGGGTAAGGCTTCTTCCTCTTCTTCCAGCTCGTGCCTCCACTGTAACAGTTGATTCCTCTGTCAACGTCATAGAAAGCTAGTCAGTAGTGACAGAACATCAAAAAGAGGCTTTGAGACAATTTGTAAAGCAGGGACCAGAAAGCCAATTGGCGAAATATCTGGTCAAGGATACAATATTTAGGTGCTAGTTGTAGTAACTTGAATTAGTAAAGAGTGAACCAGATAGGTTTAAAAACAGACGCTTCATTATATAAGGATGCAATTTCAACATGCAACCCAAGATATCCAATAATGTTCCCCACTATCTATTAGAAGAAAAAAGATTGTCACGCAGAATCACTGGATTAGTTACCATGACGCAGCATTAACACATAAATAAAACGTTAAGTTGCAACAGGAGAAAAAAATTAATCGACAGAAAACAATTGACGAAGACATCACCAGACGAAACAAGAAATGAATTTTCACATTATTAAGGTGCTCATATATGAAGCCTATCATACTATGCCTTCCCTCTGACTCATGTTTTTAGATAACTAAATCTTTCAAGCTCCACCAGAACCCTTCTACCAAGTTCTCATAAATCAAGTCTACCATACTATGCCTTCCCTTCCCAATCATCAAATTGGATAACTATATCTCACGGTACACTAGAACCTTCCATACCCTTCCGGAGAAGAGATCACTAGCATTCTAATAGCATCAAGCAACTTCTTTCCTTCAAAAAAATTTTTGTCAACAAATTGAAGTAACTCATGTAAGGTGCACTTTCTGTGGCTTGATCGACTGTCAAGGATGATTTTTGACAGCTAGTGCAACAGATGACTTCTCCACGCATGTTAAAAGCAGACATAAAAATCACAAATATGGCCATAAACAACAGCACGTGACATAATAAACTTCTGCTTCAGTCTTCACTGAATTATCTTGGGTTCTATTCTCTGTGGTCTGGGGGCAGGGGGGTTGTTGAGGCTGTGACGGAAAAAAGATTGCAACATTCAGAATTTTATCTGTAGAACAGATCTTATGCAAACACCAACCTAGTATGCCATGCCCATGGTCAGATGTCTTGGGTTCTGGAGCTGAAGCATTCATTTCTGCATCTAAAGTCTCTGGAGATTTACTCTCTGATTTATGAACAGACTCTGAAAGAGTCCTACTTTGACCGTCCATCGTTTCCATTTCAGATGATGAGACTAGGGAGCGGTCAGCCGGAACATCTGAACAGTCTAAAGCACTGGCGCAAGGGATCAGCAAATCACTTCCCTCTCCTGCAGAAGACCCTGGAGCAGCAACAGCTGATGCCTCTGTATCAGTTATAACCCTTGAGTTGTTTTGGAGAACTGCCCTGTTTTCAAGTGAAATAGTGTCTGTGACATTAGAAGACGCTACTGTACTGTCCTCTAGTCCCATTCCAATTGCATGACTTGACAAATCTGTGGTAGAAGCATTCAGGGCTGTACTGCTCTCATTAGATTCAAAAGTATCTTCCCCATAAGAGGTGGACATTGTGGATGTATGAACAGCATCCATCGTCTCCAAAGCATGCTTCTTCTCTAGAGAAGCTAAAATTGATTCTTCTGCATCAGTATCCTCATTGCCAACATGATCCTCAGAAGAGTCATGCGTGCTTGCTGCCAGACCAAAACGCTGGGAAGCATGGTTTGATGACCCCGAAAATGACGATCCGATGCTTTGAGTTTTAATGTCATACTTGTAATTCTCACTCTCAGATTTGAGGCCACTTAACTGCCGATGCATGCGAACATCTGTTTGTCTAGAAGAGCTGAAATCAACAGAAGATGATCCAGAAACACTTTCCCGGCCATAAGAGCTTCTCATGCTGGTTGTGCTATCTCTTGCATAAGATAGATCGTCTCGAGGAATTGCAGAAACAGTATATGTCCTACCTTGAATAACATGCCCCTTGCTACTGCTCGATCTCTTAAGCAACAAAGAAATTCCCGCAGCTTCAGTAACATCGATCGTGTTATGATCTGTGTATTGCAACCCCTGATTTGTTGCATCTGCATGTGATGGACTTGAGCCAACTCTTGGTGCAAAAATTTCTCGCTCATCGCTGAATCTCTCATTATCTCCTGCAATCAGGTGCCTTGGAGAAGAATTTTCTAGTAGATGGACCTGGCTTTGTTCCTTTGAGAAAGATTCCCTTTGGTGAATATATTCCTCTCCCAGTAAAACCTTTGGTTCTTCCACATCTATTACTTCCTGCGACTCACTCTCAACCATCAGCAATTTCACTTGATCCAAATGCTGATGTTTATCTGGAGTATCTATTGG